CACTCCTCTTAAAGTAATTCAGGTTGAGAAACATTGCTCTTGCCGAGTACTGTATAGAAACACAAGAGCATATAAACATACACTCTTTCATACAAATGCCCACATTACAGCAGCCACAGACAAATACATGGATTGTTTTGAAAAAAATATGCCGTTATGATTAACCAGTGGAACAGCTTGCCTCCAGAAATTGTGGGCGCTTCAACAATGGAGGTTTTTAAGAAGAGACTGAACAGTCACTAGTCTGAGATGATATAAATTATCCTGCTTGAGCAGGGGGCTGGACTAGAAGACCTCCAAGGCCCCATTCTATCTTCTATTCTATTCTATTCTATTCTATTCTATTCTATTCTTATTCTATTCTATTCTATTCTATTCTATTCTATTCTATTCTATTCTACTCTACTCTACTCTATTCACTTTTAGAAATTGAGCTTATCACAAAACTATTAGAATTTCACTGAATTTTATGTCACACTGCGGATTCAGTGATGTCAGGAAGAAATACCATAATACATTGCTTAAATACAAATGATTAGTTTTTGATTTAGAAACATTGTGCTGAAGCAGATCGTGCACTATAAGACAATTCAATGTAGAACCCCCATATAAGTTATCAGACTGTTGCACAAGTAAACATGAATGCTTTGTAATCGGTCTTCGGTGTTCCTAAGTGCTTAATAACAGCTAACAAATGTTATGCTTTCCTGAAAAAGTGTGTAATTCTTACACCTTCCACAAATAATACGACTTGTATTATTTCATTGCTCCTTACACAGCAGTCATCAAAGCCATGAGACAGTCAACATGGCTCAGGAGAATTAGGACATCCTTACTGATTGTTTTAACCTTCCCTCTCTGACACCCTTCATGTGTGCTGAATCATTAGTGATGCTTGGACTTGCTAGGGGTTCTGGGAGTTGTAGTCCAGTATATCTGCAGGACACCCGGTCAGGGGAGGCTGCGTTACACAAGCCAAATTGAAACTCCCCAGAAATGAGCCCTGATGGCAATGACACCATATAGAGTAACTTGGGTTACTTAGCTGCTTGCAATGAACCCGATTCCCATCAGGAACCCCCAGAGAGAGAACTGAAGCTATTTAATTGCAGCTCCCCCCATCAAGAGGAATGGACAACCCTGCCTGTCCTCTGCCCTGGACTTATTTTCCCCTCATTGTTAGGGATGCTCTTTAGCCTGTTATCAGCCTGATATTTTATACATAATGAAAAACCAATGGAAACTAATTTCTTCTGCCTTGTTCTCTTCTCTTTGACTAAAAGCTAAAGCTGAGCAAAGTTAATCAGGGAGAGTTAATTGGAAGAACTTCAGAAACAATTGCAATGCTGCCTGGATGGCATTTGGGGTGAGAAAAGAGCTCCAGGTGACCCCAAATCTAGGCAGCTGGTTTAGGGGTGTCCATGGAAGGCCCCAGGGAGAGAATAAAAAAGTAAAATAACAGGAGGGCATATCAGAAATGTGGACAGGGCTCTGACTGCACGGCTGATGATGCCACCATGACTTTTTTTGACCCCCCCCCACCCACTTCTCTTCCGACCCCACTGCCAAAGCCAAGTTCAAGAAATGGTGCAAAGCAAACATCTTTCCGTGGCTGAGTGACTGGAAACTGGTGCCCATTCCTTCCCTTGGAGGATGCCTTGATTCCTGCCAAAGTCCTTCAGATCTCTTTTTCCAGGCTTCCAAACATGAAAGGGGCTGCATTTAAGGAATTACTGAATTCACTTGAATGCTACTAGAACAAAAAGCAGAGAGAAGCAGCTCACTGAATCACGATCAAAGCACCCCTGTTGAGTGTTTATTAGATACATGTCCCACTTTTTCTCATGATCATATGCAGAACATCCCCTCCTCCAATTTTCCACAATTGTGGAAATGTGAGGTAGGCTGGCCTAAGAGAGAAGCAGTGGACCACAGTCATGTTATAGTTGGAGATGCAGTTAAGTTGGGACTTCTCCAGTCTAGACCAACTGCCACCCCATGCAGCCTTTCCAATATGGGACGTATCTGTTCATGGATGATAAAGTGCCCTCAAGTTGTTGTTGACTCTTAGCAATCACATTGATTTTCTGAATTCCATCCCATACCTAACATGGTCCTCCAGGTCTTCCAACAGCTCTTTATAACTATTGCATTATCCACCCTGCTGCTTGTCATCCTTCTATCTTTCCCAGCATTAAAGCCTTTTCCAGAAAGGTAGGTCTTTGTGTAATATACCCCAAGTAAGTTGACAATTTGAGCCTTGTTATTTGGGTTTGAAGTGAGAACTCAGCATTGATTGATTCAGTGATCCATTTGTTTATTTTCTTGGCTGTCCAAGGTATTCTCAAGAGTCTTATCCAACACCAGAGTTCAAAAGCATCAATGTCCTTCTTGTCCTGCTTCTTTGAAGTCCAACTTTCACTTCCACAAAATGCCACAGTATCATTGCCTGCACCATTTGGTTCTTTGTAGATATCCTGGCATCTGAAGGTCTCTGCCAAGGCCTTCCTGGCATCTCTAGTAAGCGCTGGAGGACTTGTTCCTTACTGTTGATGATTGATCCTGAAAGGCAGAAGCTCTTCACCACTTCAGTATCTTAAGTCTCAATTCTAAGGCTTATTGCTCATTGTCTTTACATTTAATTGTGATCCCATTTTTTCCACTGTTCTCCTTGACTTATTAGGGTTTGCTGATCCTTTGCAGTAGGAAGAGAAAGAAAGAAACATTGCATTTAATTATCAAACCAAGCAGGTATGCAAGATGAGATTTACATGATGATCAACAAAAATAATGACAAGACTATTCACATTTTATATATTACCTTGTACATCCAATTGAGATCATTTTGTATTATGTGTAACAAGTTAATTCAAGCTGGGTGCAATGGGTAAATGGCTAATTATAAAGCATCATCAGATGCAAAACATCTTTATTAGTGGGGCTGTCACTGAATGTTGACATTTTCAGAACACATTATTCCCTTAAAACACGCTTAAAGAATCAGTGTGGATTATCAATAGTTGCTCTCTACATGGGGCTCCCCTTGAGGAGCACCCGGAGGCTCCAACTGGCGCAGAGTGCGGCCGCGCGGGTGGTAATGGGAGCGACATGGCGTTCCCATGTAACACCTCTCCTGCGCGAGCTCCCGGTGGTCTTCCGGGTGCGCTTCAAGGTTTTGGTTACCACCTTTAAAGCGCTCCATGGCTTAGGACCCGGGTACTTGCGGGACCGCCTACTACCACCAATAGCCTCCCACCGGCCGGTACGCTCCCATAGAGGGGCTCCTCCGGGTGCCGTCAGCCAAACAATGCCGACTGGTGGCCCCCAGGGGGAGAGCCTTCTCTGTGGGGGCACCTACTATCTGGAACGAGCTCCCCCCAGAGATACGGAGGATCCCGGATCTGCGCACCTTCCGCCGCGCCTTAAAGACCTTACTATTTCACCAGGCCGGCCTGGCCTAATTTCCCCCCTCTTTTATAAAAGATTTTTAAAATTTTAAACATCTTTTAGTATTTATATATTCAATTTTAAATTGGTTTTAAAAGTCTGGGGTTTTAAATTTGTCGGGGCCAAAATTATTTAATTTGATTTTATTCTATTTTTTAAATTTTGTATTGTATGTGTTTTTTATTGTTTGCCTGAGTCCTTCGGGAGTAGGGCGGTATAGAAATCTAATAAATGAAATGAAATGAATGAAATGAGGTATGGCTGATAAATGAAAATAAGGTTCAAAAACACGCAAGGCTCTTCAGCAGTAAACTCCAGGCTGCAACTGTCTTCTTTGCCCCCCCAAAAACCTTAATGTAAGTAAATGGGGAACTTAATGTGATTTTTAAATTAAATTAAACAGAAATATGCTTTAGACCAGAGTGCTCTATGCGAAGTGTTAGAAAAGAAGCAAAAGAAAGAGCCGTTTCAGCCCAACTGGCTGAAGGGAAGGAAATTTGTCTCACTTTTAGAAAAAGCACCTGCAGCCACCAGTCCACGGAGTCATTCATTGTAGTGTTATCTGCCAGAGAGGCTGTGACATTGTAGCAATTAAGACAAACTTTCGTCTATCAGTTCACGCCTGCAATCTCTATCCTTCACCTGGAGATGGATGATCCCTTCAAGGAAGGAAGCAGAACCTTTTCCAGGCTGCCTTCAAAGTAACGGTTAGGAGTTGTAATTGTTCAGCAGAAGTTGTTTCGCGCTACAAAAGGCCTCCAACCCATTTGGATCCTTCTTCAGAGCTCAAGCACCACAAACAGAGCCTTCTCGGTAAGCAATTCTGCTTCCTATCAACCACCCCAAGACGGTGGGCTTCTGAAGGACTTCCTCAAAAATAAATAGCAGAGGAGCTGGAGTGCATTAAAAACAACAATGGCACTGGTCTAAAAGACTCAAGAATGTCTTACTGTTTGCAGGGAAGGAACCTGCGTTATCACTAGTAAGTCTGCACTCTTGATTTCAAAGGCCATTTTGAAGAAAACAGCATTTTAAAATAAGATTGGGGTTAACTGTCAGGATGACAACTTACTGTGAACATGTCCAATTGTGGTTTTTTGTATCTATTTGTATATTTGCATTAGGTTTTTTTTGAAAAATATGGTCAAACGACTAAATAAAGTTTCTATTCTATTCTAAAGCAAATTTAGAACAACGATGAAATATTAGTGATTTTTAAAAAAACCCTGAGGGGCACAATGGCTCAGTGGTTAAAAACAGCTGGACAACTGACAGCCTGGGTTTGAGACCCAAGTGCCATGCAATGGGTGAGCTCCCGTCCTCGCCCAGCTCCTGCCCACCTAGCAGTTCGAAAGCATGCAAATGTGAGTAGATACATGGGTTCCAGTTCATTGGGAACGTAACAGTGTTCTATGCACCTTGGCCACATGACCGTCGTAATGTCTTTGGATAACGCTGGCTCCCTCTGCTAAGAAATGGAGATGACCACTATGCTGTACAGTCGGGACATGACTGGACAGGGAAACCTTTACCTTTACTAAGAAAGACCCAAATTCTTAAACTTTCAACATAGTCTTTTAATGTCATAATTATTTAGATGGGGGCAAAAGTTGAAGAGGGCAATAGGTCCACGTTTTAGAGTGCAGAGAACCTTTTTTGCTATCAAAGGCTGGACTCCTTTTACACTGAGTCCAGAGGTTGTTGGTTGTTGGTGGACTGGATTACAGCACAATTTCCTTCTTCCTGTTTTTGGTCCTTCTTGCAGAGTAGCTACTGAAGGTTAAAACATCAGAGGGCTGCACAACTCCCAGCCTCGCTTCTTTGAGTTGGTCTCCATTTGACACATGACTCCGTTTGGTGAGGTTAATGGATAGACTTCATCTGGATCAGTTGCAGTAGCTTCGCCTAAGATACTAAACCCTGAACTAGGTAAGACACAATCGCTATCCCCCATAACGTTATACACAAACAGATAAATTGCATTATCCAGGTACACCACCTAGAGTCTGGTAAATCGGCAGAAGATATATTGGTGTGACAAATAAATAAACAAATAAAAACATTGCAGCTTAATAGGATGACACGGTTCAGACAACCTGCTAAGTCAGTAGGCCACTTTTGACAGTATGGCTTCCCAGACCATCTTAAGTCACCAACTGCCCAGGCTCAATTTAGCCTGGTGTTCTAAAAACCTAGCTATTGCAGCTTTCATTGGTGTTGGTTGAACAAGCATACACATTTAATTGAACAAATGAATGATAAGTCACATCAGCCTCAGGCAACATTTGTGGAGAGAGAGAGAGAGAGAGAGAGAGAGAGAGAGAGAGAGAGAGAGAGAGAAAGAAAGAAAGAAAGAAAGAAAGAAAGAAAGAAAGAAAGAAAGAAAGAGAAAGAGAGAGAGAGATCAGTGACATAAGTATATCTTAGGCTTGCTGAATAGGAACAAAAGAAGCTTCCAATCAAAGGGTCCAACTTTGCGATCAACCATGGCCAGCAGCACCTCTTCTGCAGTTCTGGCAAGAATTCCCCTAAGAATGAACTTTAAACCAACCCCAAGGAATTGCTCTACTGCTCAACGTAATAACATCATCAGCAAATGAAAGCCCAACCCAACTTTCCCTCCTGTTCATCTTCTGCTAAAATCTCTTGATGTCCTTGGTGTCCACCTCGTCCTACATAAGAAGTGAGTATAGGGGATAGTGCAAGCACACACTTGTCTGTTCCAAAAATAAATCTAGCACGCTCCCTTTGGCAGATACTGCTTACACTTTTTTATTCTTTCATCTTGATCCATTTTCTTTCACCGGTCCATCATCTAACGTTCAGTTTCAAATCCCAATCCAAAGCAGGCACCTGACCGAGTCCACAGGACCTCCATTTTCTGCTCATGTCCTTATGCTTAGCTAGCAAAGACCCCAAAGCGTATAAAATACTTGGAGGCCAACATATATACATTCGGTTTATAAAATATATGTTCGTGTTGTCTTAAGGATGCAGGGGGCAGTGAGAGCCGGGGGGGCAAAGGACTCCTGCTGAATTTCTTGAAGAAAAAGACCCCGTCTCTCTCCCGGCAGGCTCCACTCTGAAATGCATTTGCCATGAAGCTCTTGGGAGGCTGCTTTCTCGTGGGAGGCAGCCCATCTCTCTTCCTCTCACTGCGATCCCTGTTGCTGCAAACGCCTCTCCTCCAGGGTCCGGCACACCCACATGGAGACCACTTCGGCATTCCCGTCATTGTACTGCACAATAAAGAGGTGGCCCTAAAAGAAGAAAAAGTGGGTTCAGTTAAGAGGGTCAAAGAGCTGAGGAGTGAAGGAAATGCAACATTCTTGTCATCCTGCTAAAGACTTTTGCAAGACATCCCGACTGTGTGAACACAACCTACTAAAAAGAGGGTGGGGTTTTACCATTGAAATATGTAGCTCATGTATAACTATCAGTCTCTCTCTGTGTTTTTTAAGTTGAAAAATAAACTGTGTGTTTTTCTTTTGAAGGCTCAGTACATGCTGGGAACTGAAAAGGGGCTTTTCAAGCAGCTGAAGATAAAACAAAACAGGTTTCCCATGTGCTGGAAACATTCTCCTCTTTGTATTGATTTTGATACATTTCAAAGGCAGGACAAAATGTGGGATCTGCAGTTACACAAAGACAGAAGGTGGGAGCCATGGAGAAGCCCCCTTTTCTCTCTTGAGTCCAGGATCATCTAAGGAGGCAACAGGAGATGGCCTTCGTGCAATGTTTTTCAACCGTGGCAACTAGAAAAGGGGTCTCCAACCTTGGCAACTTTAAGACTTGTGGACTTCAACTCTAGGAGTTGAAGTCCACAAGTCTTAAAGTTGCCAAGGTTGGAGACCCCTGAACTAGAAGACGTGTGTGGCCTTCAACTGCCAGAACTCCCCAGTCATGCTGGCTAAGGAATTCTAGGAGTTGAATTCTACACATCTTCAAGTTATTCAAGGATGAGAAACATTGTTCTAGGATTCTGAATTACTTTACTGCCAAGGTTGAAAAGCAAAGAACAGGAACCCAGATCTGAAAGCTCTGGCAGATGCTACCAGTTTCTGTGCTTTGTGTTGGGCCATATGAGACCGGCATATAACCGGCATGATGTCCTGTTCTCAGAAGGCCACAGGACTGTTCTCTGCTCTTCGATTTGGGATGAACGGGAGGATAGAAGGAGGAGCTGTGAAATAATTTTGAAAACGTGCAACTTTCTTTTAGAGGTCTAAGTGACATGTTTTACTCATCTCCAACATACGTAACTTCCTTCAAGACTAATGACTTAGTAACATGGCCCCAAAGTCTTCAAGAAGAGGTGGGAGTGTGAGGAGCAAAGGACTGGTTGGGCTGAAGGGTGTGACACGAAAGAAGCAGATAGGCACAGAAGATGCACAGATGGCGTGGGGACAGGGAGAGAGGAAAATGCTGGTAAGAAGAAGCTTTGAGATGTAATCACATTAGGAAGATGGGGATTTACTTAATCTCCTTTGGACTTCAGGGGAGTAACATGCAAGTGATGCCACAACTGGTGTGTTGCTCTTTAGGCAAGGGAAGGCCTTCCTGTGTCACTTTGCATTTATGACTGCAATGTCTCCAACCCCCTGGATGGGGTAAAGCTTAGAATTTAGAATAAGCTTTCAGATTATTCTAAATTCCCCCCGTTTCTGCCCCAAGGTAAGTGTGTCCTCAGATGCACCCTTGCTTGACTTCAAACCCTTCCTCCTGCTGATGAATAGTGTTGGGATCTCTTTCCTGTCTTGTCTTTTCCCCTGCCTCTAAATAATGTTTTTCTCAACCTTTAGCATGTGTGGGCTTCAAGTCCCAGAGTTCCCCAGACACTGTGGCTGGCTAAGGAATTCTGGGAGTTGACATCCACACATCTTAAAGTTCCCAAGGTTGAGGAACGCTGATCTAGATGGTTTTGTGCAAGACGAAACCAAAGAATCCAGCAACTATTTTACCTTCAGGAGAAGGTAAAATGCTGGATGGGGAATTCTGGGAGTTGAAGTCCACACATCTTAAAGTTGCCAAGGTTGAGAAACTCTGCTCTAGATTCTTACTAAAGAAGGAAATAATGGTATACTTTCAGTGTTATTTGTTTTAATTGCCTAACGTGGTATTTGTCAGGACCCAAGGCAGACCCCTGTGGCCCCCCTCCCCCCACCTGGCCATGTCCTTCCGCTCAAATCCCATGCTTAGTTCTTCAGGACCCAGATTCCTTACAGTAATCACTCTTCAGCAAATGCCACAAGGTTAAATTCGCTTAACTGTTTGTAAAACTCATGGAGATCCCTGGAGGAGCAGAAAAGATGTCCTCATTCACAGTTAAGGCTGGAATTACCTGTCTTGCCTTTTAAATAAGCAGCCACACAAACCCAACCAGAGTCACGGAACAAATCAAGAGGTTGCAGGCAAGGGAGCAGGAGGTTCACAGAGCTAGCAAGATCAGCTATTAGGCAGATTCTGCTGGTTTCCAGCATGAATCTCTTTTTTCCGAGAAAAATGGGCCAAGTCATTTCTTGGCCCCACCAGCCATCTGGCAGTTCGGCCAAAATTCCAGTCCTCAGAAGACAGTCAAGGGCAAACCTGGAAGTGGCCTTCCTGAGTGTCCAATGGCTGGCAAGAGGTTTGGAAAAACAAAAATAAATGTCCTCCACTACAGAACACAGAATACGAGGGCTGGAAAGGTCCTCAGAGTCTTCTGCTCAAGGCAGGAGACCACACGCCATTCCGATCAAATGGCTGTTCAGTCTTTTCTTGAAAGCCTCCAATGACAGTGTTAAATTTAGATTTACTGACCAAGAAATAAAGGGAGATGAATCTAGATCTATTTCAAGCTATTTGGCTCTCATCAGCTAGCCATACCCTTCTGGGATTCAAACCCGGGCTACTTGCATGTTAGGTAGATGTATTAACCTCTAAGCCACAGGTTCTCCTCGCTTTGTTAGCTGTACTAGGGGAGAGATTACCGTATTTTTTGCTCCATAAGACCCACTCCCCCCCCCCAAAAAAAGTGGGTGGAAATGTCTGTGCGTCTTATGGAGCGAATATGGGCGACAGGCAGCAGTGGTGAACGGCGGCAGTGATCCTGCCGCCTGGAACAACTGATTGGTGGTATTCCGGGAGGCCGATCCAACCGCCAATCAGCTGCTCAGTGGCGAAGGCTCCAGTGTTTCCAGGAAGAGGCAGCAGACATGGAGCAGGCAGCTGACCAGGCTGTTTGTTACAAGGACACTAGCCAGATGAATACCGGATGGATGCTGGGAGGCAGAGGCAGATATTCCCTTTCTTGTTTTCCTCCTCTAAACCTAGGTGTGTCTTATGATCAGGAGCATCTTATGGAACGGAAAACACGATACTGTTTTTTCAATCAGGGCAACCTGGTCTATCCAAATATGGGAAGGAGCGTACTGCTCCCCTTTCGCAAAGGCTCCTGGATTGGGGCTGAAAGGCGAAAGAGGAGCAGTATGCGCCTTCCCATATTTGGGGAGACCAGGTTGCCCTGAGGCAAGTGGCTCCACTCATTAATCGTTCTCACTGTTTGGAAATTCTTCCTTATTTCCAAGTTGGATCTGCCTCCAAGGAGCTTCCACCCATTGCTTCCTGTCCTGCCTTCAGATGCTTTGGAGGAAAGGTCCATCTTTTTCTTCTCTGTGACTGCCCCTCTCTCTAGAGTGGGCCTGACCCTACGAGTGGCTGCTACTGAGATGATTGGACCTCGATACAGAACATTTCCTTGGAATGGACATTTCTGAAAATTAACCAGCCAGTTCATTCTGGAGAACTTTGAGGTGAGCTCAATGTCTTGGTTGCATTACGTGATTCTGATGGAGCGATTTCAATGTCAATGTTTAATTGCCATCCTTTGTAACCACTGTGACATGCCAAGAGTCATGAGATTGCTTAACGCATTGTAAGCCGCCCTGAGTTTCCGGAGAAGGGCGGCATATAAATCAAATTAAAAAAAAAGATGGGATGGCAACCTAAGAAACAAGTATGTATGAAAAGCCCAGCAGTCACTGCCGAAGAATGGCTGGGGGAAAAAAAATCTCCTGCAGGATGATTCCACTTGCTAAGCTGTCCAGACCCAGGAGATGTAAGGGCAAGGCCTCTTCTGCCCCCCAAAGAGAGGTCATCTTGAGAAATAAGAAGGAAGCAGCAGCAGCAACAGCAGAGAAAGCTGCCCTTGTCTCAATGCTTTCCCCCTTGGCGGGGGTGGTGGTGGATTTTCCTGGGGCAGGAAGAAGCGGAGAGCTGGAGGGGGTGAGAGAGGCTGGAGGGCAGGGGGGGTGGGCACCAGAACAAGCCAGCCACACTGGAAATGGAGCTGGCAGTTCATGCAGGTATAATGAAGTTCCAGGCAGTTAGAAAGAGACAGACCCCATTTGTTAACCCGACATTCTCATTTCTAAAGAACGAAGAAACAAATAGAACACAACAAGCATGGAAGGAAGTAATGGAAAACAAGAGAGAGAGGGGAAGAAAAGAGAATGAGGGTCCTTCTGCGCTTCACCAGCTTCCAGGGGAGGGGGAGGGAGGCCCTTTATTCCTGAGTAATATTGCTCCAGATCTAAAAATTCCACAATTCTTAAATCTCCCAGTAGAGAGTCCCTTCATTTTATCAAGTAATGGTGCAGAAATGTAAATGCGCAGAAGCCTGAAATGCGTTTTCTCTAGCGGTGAACACTCCTCCAGACAAGAGACTTTGTGGGTGAGGGATCTGGCCCCTCTGTTTCTGGAACCAGGGCAGGAGCTGATGTTGCAGAAGGATCCCACAAGGATCCCACTTTAAAGAAGGGAGGGGCCAGCAGTTAACCCAATGCCTCCCAACTGTGGCAACTCCCAGATGTTCAACAGCTCCCAGAATTCCTAAATCCAGCAAGGCTGTTGCTAAGAATTCTGTGAACTGAAGGCCATCAAGGTCAGATCTTGGCTTATCACCTTATTCTCTGGGCTTGCCCCCAACTTGGACATCCCTGCACCTGTATCTGATCAAGGCCGGTACTCTTAGTCCTTCCCCTGAGTTTCAGCCATCAGTGGAGAAGCTAGCTTGGCCTTCAGTCCCGTGGCCCTTTCTTGCCTCTTTAATTCAGAGTTCTTTTTGGCAGGACTGGCCTGTGGCCTTGTCTTCATTGAGAGGATGCTACTACCCAATTACAGCACTGCAAGGGTTGCAAGGTAGAAAGAAGGAAAAGACGGTCATGTCAAGGCAACATTCCTACAAGGATGAAGAGCTCCTTGTTTGGCACCAGTGCAGCTC